TNNNNATTTAATTTTAGCATATAAATTTATCCCTTGATATAAGAGAAAGTAACATTTTTACTTATTGTTGTTCACCATATAATATTTAATTATTATTTTATTATATAATAAAAAAGAAATATTGTTAAATAGTGTAGTAGAATTGTTATAAAATTATATTAATTTTTTTTTTTACAATATGGATTTAGTATTTTTTATGATTTGATAATATAAACAAATCTATATTTAACTTTGACAAATAAAACATATAAATACTTTAGTAAGTATTTAATGTATATACTAAATAGGAATATATTTGGTATAATCAAATACCAAATATAATCAAATAAGTCAAAGTGTACATTTTTATTTGGTATTTAATTTTTTTATTATACTTATCTTTTTAAAATAAAACAAACAAATAAATCAATTAAATAAATAAAATATTATAATATCAAAATAGTAATGACATTTAATGCAGTTGACTTTTCTGGATAATAAATGTAGTAAATATAATATCCTTTTATATAATATAATACGGAAATAGTAATGCAATAAATGCTGTTGACTTTTCTGGCTACTTAATTTGGTAAATAGTATCCCCTTTAATATAAGTATAGATTTATTAGTAGTTATTTTATCTGAAAAATGTTTCAAATTTTGAATAAATCACGGATTAGGTTCTACGACAGTGTGCCATGTGCAGAAAGCATGAGAATTATACGACATCATTAAAATAAGTGCTGCTCCTTAATTTTAAAATAAAAATAGTATAATTTTTTTACTTAAATAAAAAGGAATATATTTAAATATAAATTTCTTATATTCATTTTTAAAACTTATGACACTAACTAGTGGTGATGGATTTGAATCTAAGATGTAAAGATATGTGTCAATTTGAATCTAAACTTAACTAGTCAATTACCAACTTTTATAAGTACTTTAATTTGAATTCCACGAGTTAAAAGCTAGGATGGNAAAAAAAAAAAAAAAAAGAAGAAGAAAAAAAAAAACTTAAATGTTCAATTCACGTCGTTGCATTTTGAAAACATGTCACTAAGTAGTAAGGGTGTGATTGTTTATATTTTCTACAGTAAATATCTCACTCAAAACTCAAATTTAACTCAACTTTAACTCAACTCCACTATCTCCAATATTATCAATATAATTAAATAATATCAAAAAATCATTATTACACATCACATCAACTTTAATTCACTATTCACACACTCATATAATTTTAACTAACCATCACTTCCAATCATTTTCTCCTACATTTATATCAAATCAACTTTAATTATTTTAATTTAATTATTATTTTAATATATCCACTAACAACTAACCATACTACTTTTTTTCAAACTTAACTATAGTTAAAAAAAAACTAGTTTTTTACTAGTTGAATTCATATCCAATCACCCCCTAAGCGAAGAATCACAATTAGAAAATATCACACTATTTAGTAAGTGAAACGAGTTGGATCGACTATTTCATGACACTTGCTAGCACCATAAGTCATTAGTAAAAACTGATAAATGTTCAATGGACTGCATTAAATGTGTCACTAATTAGTAGCTTAATTAGTCAGTCCAAATACTCTCACTCCTCAAATCCCCAATTTTCCAGTTTCTTCTATTCTAGGATCTCCGTCGTTATGCCTTCTCCAGCGTGCCGTCGAGCTCTTTGACGGCGACCGACCCATGGCTGCACGACTCATTTCCTTTGGTATCGATGCTTGTTCTCTCAAGCCCGTGGGGTGGACAACGGGCTTCGAGAGGTTCTTGCTGCTTCTTTTGGTCGCAGTTTTGAGTCGGTGGTCGTCGATCTCTCGAGTGGCGAGGCTGTGGCGGGCGTCGGTGCTTTTGAAGGGTTGGGCTATGGCTCCGACTGTAATAATATTTTATATTATTCTATTATTGTGGACCATATAATTAGTTGGACCTAATTGAATTAATCAATAGTCAAACTTATTTAAGGTGAATATGTATTTAATAAATTATTAATGTTCTAATATTAAAGAGTCCAATTTGTGATGTTTGACTTGGACATTAAGTTAGGGTTAGAACATGGGGAATGTTAGTAGGAATAAGTTTGTAGGTCTCCTCCTATATATACTACATGCCCCTCTCTCCCATCTCATACGAAAATAAAGTTCTCAACATCAAGGTCTTTATGAAAAGACGAGAGACGCGGGAGAGAGAAACAATTCATAGGCAAAAGGCGAATCCATCATTGGAGATTATGAGAAAGATAGATAGATCCATGAGATTACGAAGAGGAAGAGATCGCAGATCAACATCATAGATCAAGAAAACAGGGAAGGACTATAAGCTGGATTCTTGTAAGTTCTATGTGCAATTTAATTAATGCAAAGATCCATATTCTATGAACTGATAGAATTACATGCTTAGGGTTTATTCAATTCCGCCTGATAGTTATGAGTTATGAGTATGCCCGTTAAATTTCTTACATGTGGTATCAGAGCATGTGTTTATGCATATGATTAAATTGCCACTTAATATTTTGTCTTGCCGAGCGTGAATTGTTTTTGCATATGATCATAGCATGGCGTTATTTTAATATTGTTAATGATCATGGATTCTACACTCATTGCGACATCAATTTATTTCTTTATGGTTTGATCGCGAATGATTAAGCATTCTTTATTCCCGCGTGAATTATTTGTTGGATGTTAAAGTTGCTGTAAGTGTACATGGTTCGAAATTATTTACTCAATTAATCCTAAATTGCCATGCTGAAATATAATATTGCCGAAAGTGAGTTAAGCATTGGTTTCATGGATTATTTACCAGACATGAATAACTGTTCCAATTGGATTGGTGAATAAATTTGATTGTGATTTATTTGCCTTCAGTATGCCTGCGCCGATCCATTATTGATTGTTGAAAATTGAAAGAATTGGATTGCTGTCTGATTGTTTAATTACTTTCAGTAATCGAATAATTTTGCTTCAGTTTTTTATTTTATAAACTGTATAAAAGTCAATTGTTTCTGTGTAGAGATTAATAAATGTATGAATATCTCATAATATGATCATATAAAATATTTTCTAATTATATTATCTATGTAAAGAAACTAGTTAGTCACCAAGGTGGCCTAGTTTAATTTATGGAATAGATAATTAAATTAGATGAAATATAATTAAAATAAAATATTATCTAATTATATTATCTATGTAAGAAACTAGTTAGTCACCAAAGTGGCCTAGTTTAATTTATGGAATAGATAATTAAATTAGATAAAAGTATCAATTATTCAAATATAAGACGATGTCTTATTAATGTACCCTAATATTATAATATTTGAATAATTGACGTTATAGATTATAAACTAGGAGGACACCCAAAGGTGGGCCATGGTTTATAATATATGACACTAAAAGAGAAATTATATTAAAGTTAGGTTAATTAGTGTGTTTGTCCAAAGATAACCACTAATTAATCACAATACCTATAATTTCTATTAAAGATCTTT